AAGGATGTAAAGGGAAATTTCCATTAATATTACAAATTGATTGATGACAATTGAACATAGTTAAGTAAATGCAGTGGTACACATAACTGACAGATGGTAATGAAAATATTTGACATGATGATAAAAACAAGCACCATGTTAATTTATAAAGTTACAAATTCATTACATTAAGCATTTTAATGATGGGGACAATTACAGGTTAAAAAATACGTTGAAAGAAAATGGACTGAAAACAATTGGATTTTCTATGATACATATAAACATTCACAAGGCTTACATGGGGAAAAGGGGCAATTATTTAGTACATTATGAACGAAAAGGCGGCAGATAGAGAATTGGTCAATCCGAAATAAATACGAGACAACAATTGATAATTTAAAACGTGCACACAGTAAAATTTTGAAGAAAAAGATGAAATAATATTTCGAATAGTAACTAACCTCACCAACCGATGAAAATGAAAAGCAGAATACCTCGTTTGAACAATGCATGTGTTTCAAAACAATAAGCCATTTCTAATGTAAAAACGGAAATTTTATAACATGACTAAAAGCATTGTAGGAAATAAAAAAACTTTGCGACATGAACGCCCGACAAAAGTGATAACTTGACATGATTTGGATAGAAACTATAAGATATTGGACTTGTGTAACGCATGATGATAGCAATAATGACTTTATAATTTCAAAATTATCATTAGTTTAGAAAGTTATCAATCGATCAGCAGTAGCTTAAATATGATTTAATATCCTTCTCAATGTAAAATATATATTTCATTTAAAACATTTAACATTTGATTATTGAATTTGAAAAACTGGAAATTATTTGAAATTGAACTGAATAAATTTAATTATTGAAATATCTAGAGAATATCGCATTAATCGTAGTCTTGTTCTGGTTTCTTCATCATTTTTAATTATAATTTTTAATCAAGAAATGATATAAAATGTTGTGCTCGATCAGAAGAAAATTAAATATTGAAATCTCCAATTAAAATGAATAGTAATTTATGGTAGTTAGAGCCTAGTGAAAATGTTTGCGTGAGAGAAAAAATCAAGAGACGGTAACATGGAGATAAGAAGTTATCACTTGAAAGTTGGCATATCTTGTTTTAAAACACTACAATGCCGGTCCGATGATGCAAATAAAATTTGCCACATATCGACGTCTTTCGTAACATATTTATAAAGATATTTGATAGAAGCAAGCGATTCCACACCTTCAAAATTGATATGACATCGATATTTTAGGGCGGCAAACGGATTATAGGGAACATCCCGATTTGTATAAGCGCCATTTACTGTAATTTGCCGCCCATCGTGCGGTCGTCGATAGTCCGGCCTGCCATCTTTCGTGCTGGTCAAATGATAATTTAGAATGGTCTCGTGACGGTACGATTTAGGAAAACCTTTCGAGCAACGACCATTTTTGATGCAAGCCCCCTCCCTCGATCCCTCTTGTCCAGAACATTTCCGGTGCAGATAATTTTCGGCCACTATTCCATATAGCATTGGTTCACTATCCACATCCGGAATGGTTGCTCAAATGATTTTATTGACCTTCTAAATGTCGTCAAGAAACTCCAAAAATTTAGTGTGAAAAACGCGGCACACTAAGTCGGGGCGGTTTTGCCATTTTTGTTTGTATAAAAGATTGGTGGTAATTTCGGGCCATGTTGGGTTGCAAGTAAATGTGATAAACAAATCGGGTTTGCCATGACGTGCTACAATAGTCATAGCATCCAAATATTGCCTTTTCTGGTACCGATGAC